TCTTTCCTATCACCTTTGATCAATTGAATGCATTCTTATGGAATTTCTTTCAAAAAAAAATCTCACTGACCTTAAACTTTTGAAAGGTATGTATATTAGTGAGAAAAACATTAGAAAATAAAACGTCATTATTCCTTTAAAAAAAATCTTACTGACCCTAAACTTTAGAACGGTAGTGTACATAAACATAAATAGCTTGATTGTGAATTTCCTTGAGTTAGCAAGGTTATAATTCATATTTGTGACAGAAAAAGCATATTAGATGTGTTTTCAGTGAAAAAGAAAAAGATCTGCACTTGAAGAAGGGAGAGGGGAGCTGCCATCCATCACTCAGGGCTGTTAATGAATGCGTTTCACTGTTGGTACGGGTTGAATTTTAACCGCAGACTCATGGCTAAAATCGATATGACTTAGACACTGCGTGCGCACCTTATCCTCTGTCTTTGCTTTAGGACACTGATGTCTGGGGTAATGGAGAGACCGTCCACTGGTCAAGGGTTCAAGACCTCCAAACATCCTGAGACAGATTGGACTCACGTCAAGTCCATGCCATATCTGAGCATGCATTCAGCTGGGTCTCATACTCACCTCCTTCATCCGTGAGGCTTCAATGCATGCAGTTTCTTTCTCCATTTCCTCTTTTAACTGTTTTATCTGCAAAGGATAATATTTTTTGTTTTAAATCACAAACAAGACTGGACAGTAGGCGAGACTTCATGTTGTTTGCTTATTTGCAACCATCCAAAAGATTCTTGGATATTTAGGAGTATTTACACCTAGGTTAAAACTTCAGAAGTGGTCAGCCAATAGTGCTGTTGACAAGTGCAGTTGGGTGGTTCATTTCAATAGTATCCAGCTGCAGACCCGCAGCACCAGCAGTTTCAGAACCGCAGCCATAGAACCGCAGCCACAGAACCGGAAGTGAGGGGCGGAGTTATTGACAACGAGAGAGCACGGTGAGTACTCTGTAATGGTTTTGCTATCATATGTTTAATAATTATCGTATATATTACGTTAAGCCACATGTTAAGTACTTAGCAGATAAATGCTTAACGTAATATATACGATAATTATTAAACATATGATAGCAAAACCATTACAGAGTACTCACCGTGCTCTCTCGTTGTCAATAACTCCGCCCCTCACTTCCGGTTCTGTGGCAGCGGTTCTGTGGCTGCGGTTCTGAAACTGCTGGTGCTGCGGGTCTGCAGCTGGATATATCTCGTTCATTTGGGTGTCTTTTCACAGAGGCGAAGCTTACACCCAGCTGAGCTTCACACTCCACTCTGGCCTGGGCTTCAGCCTCTCATTATAGGTGTTTCCTGCAGCCTTCTATGGAGGACCAAACCTGCAGAAATTAAAAACGAATAAATATATAGATAAATAAATAAATAAAATGACAGGAAAATAAATAAAGGAATAAATGACTTGATAAAAACAAATATAGTTCATTTGTAATAAAATTTAACCCTGAATTAATTTTTTTATTACTTTTTCCTTTATGTATTATATTATTTTGTGTATTTATTTTTGCATTTATTTTAATTACAAATTTATTAAAATAAACTGTCAAATTATATCTAAATATTGCTAAATATACCTGATTCGTAGATAACCACTTTACAGTTGGTTTTGTGACTGTAAGTCGTTCTCTTCAAATGCTATTGAAGTTACAATCATGTATACCAATGTCGTATTTAACTTTAGAGATGGTCCCTAAACTTGCGAATATAGACGTCAACTGCCAGTGGGCCGCGATTCCAAAAAGCATTGTGAGCCTGAGTAGACCGTAGGTCTAACTAGGTCCTTTGGTGCAACTGGTTTACGATTGCATTTAGACTCACAATGCATTTGGGAGTCACGATTTTCTCTGTGTAATTCGACATAAAAATGTGAATCTGTGAAAATATCTGGCAACTCTGCAGTTGATCCCACAAACTCCGATCTCGTTTGATCTGACGCTTCTGCGTGAGCTCTCTCAACCAATGATACACCGGAGCTCCGCAAGGACCGCCTCCCTCATTTCCATGCTGCACACGGAAAAGTAACAATAAATAAATGAATAAATAAAGCTGGAAATAAATATATGTGGGAATAAATAAATATAAAAAATAAATAAACTCATGAATAAATACATTTAAAATAAATAAATACATAAATAAATAAATAAATAAATATAAAAATAAACGATAAGATAAGTAAATAAAACTGAAAAAGAATAAAAATAAATGTAAAAATAAATACAGAAAATAATACATATAGGAAAAAGGTCATACAAATAAATTCAGGATTAAATTTTATTACAAATGAACTATATTTGTTTTTATCAAGTCATTTATTTCTTTATTTTCCTGTTATTTATTTATTTATTTATTATTTCTGCAGGTTTGGTCCTCCATAGCCTTCTGGCTATAGAAACAAATGTTCTGCTCCATTGATCAAAGTCACCAAAATAAAGTGGAGAAAAACATCGTTTTTTCAAAACGTCATTTTTTCACTTTACATTTTTATAGCCACCATGCTAGACCTTAACATTGAGTTTGTCAGTCACCGCACAAAGGGGCGGCTCAACAAAGGGTGCAGGGCTGAAAAGAGGCCAGTCTAAACTGCTACACTAAATATGGATAATCCTTTTCTCCCGGTGGCCCAAACAACATTAAGGAGGTCTTCATTAGTGGTTTTAACCAGGTCTTCTACATGGAGTGTGTTTGGCCACCACCTGCTCCATTAGACTCTTTCCTGGCCCTACCAGGTTGTGTGTCCACTCAGTATTATGTGAAGAGCCGGAAGAACATTACTGATCTGAAACTAATATGCCTCTATTATAAAACACTGTTAAAAAACAAATAAATAAAAGAAAGAAATAAAGAAAAACAAAGAAAAAAAAGATTAAAAAATCTAAATATTAAATCATACAAAACAAATTAAAATTAAAGAATGTCTTCTTTATAAAAAAAAAACGGTCTGTACTGCAGAACTTGAGTTTGTTTTAAAACTTTTATCAATTTCAAAAATTCATTTTCAGTAGTAAGCTTTCTAGCAATTTACCATGTTTTTTTATTTTAAAATAAATAAATAAATGATTTAAAGCAATTTAAAGTTTTTTTCATTCCAATGAATGCAACATAAGTAACGAAAAACTGTATCATACAGTATATCTGTATATTAAATTATGCATATGAGCATAATAGGAATATATTCAATACATATTAAAAATATTCATAGAAAAAAACTTATTAATTTAAATAAAAAATGTGCATTGCAGAACACAATTTATTAATTTTAATAAATTTCATAAATGTATTAATTTATTTATTAATTTCAACAATTCATTTTCAGTGGTGAGCTTTCTAGTAATCAAATCACTGTCATCAAAAATGCATATATTACTCATCTATACATACATACATACATACATATGCATATATATATATATATATATATATATATATATATATATAATTCTCGTTCCCAAAGCGATCTCGACGCAGCTCGAGTTCCTGAAGGGGAACGTCTCTAGGTTACGTATGTAACCATGGTTCCCCGAGGGAACGAGACGCTGCGTCTCTTTGCCATACTCCCTGCATCCCTCCAGGCGCTACTTCATCGAAGCTAACTTGCGCTCTGCCGGATGCGCTTTTATATTTCCTGGCGCTCACGTCACCCCGCTCGTGACGTCTTGCTGCTCCATTGGACTGATTTCACACGTGCTTCAGAACGCGGTCACGCAGGGGCATTCCCAAAGCGATCTCGACGCAGCATCTTGTTCCCTCGGGGAACCATGGTTACATACGTAACCTAGAGACGATTTTTAAGATACTTATGAGCATTTTATATATTTCTTCTATATTTTAAGAAAAAAATTCATTTTTACCTATGATAAGTATGCTCTTGTAATAGATTTTTTTGAAACAAAAATTATTTTTATGTGCATTTGCTTTAGCTGTACTGCAGAAATATAAACCTAAGTATACTAACTAACTAACAAGCAAGAAGTGACAATAATAAACATCTGTATGCATAGTTTTCTTTACTCTGCTGAAGAGCTGTGCTAATATGAGTGTTTGATTGCAGGGTAAATTATGCCAGCTTTGACAGGACCCTTGCTGCTTGTCTCCCAGCAACCCTGCAAGGCCAGAGGGAGACTTTTAACCTTCTAGATTATGTGTGGCCGGATTCAATGGCTGAGTACCATAGAGTCTTTCACACTCTTTTTACGTTGTCCTCTGTGTTCATATTTTAATTCCAGCCATTGTGTGGCAAACTTGGTGCATATTGTTCCTCGCAATCAACCGCAGACACTATGTAAAATAATACTTGATAACCAGTGCTTGAATAAATTTTGTCTGTAAAACTGTTTAAATATGTAAATGAAAGATTCTGAGTTTTAAAATATTTAAATGAATTAATATTGTATTTAAAGGTTTTGATGGTAAAATACAGCGATTGGCTGACATGACTTGAGATGACTTATGAATACGAGGCAGCAGTCCAACTTAGAGCACATTCAAAATGCACAACAAAGCACTCTGACAACATGGTTTCTTACTGTAGTGCAATAATATAAACTCTGGCATGGCCCCAATCTTAACACCACGCAATGCTACTTCACACACACTTCATCTTTACTGCACAAAAGATAAAACACTAAATAAACAATGCTATATCAATGCATGTCAAAAACGCTGCACCACGGCCATTCACCAAATGTTTTACCAATATCAACATGCTACAATGTCAGCTCCGTGCTTCATATCGTCAGCTGTGCTTGATCAAATATCATAAAATAATTTAGTTCTCCCTCATGCACCAGTTGCTGCAGAGTATTTAATTCATGGTAATTTGCTCCGCTGGCATGCTTCTCTCTTCTCACAGAGCTAACACACAAGTAAAACCTGCAAAATTATGAGGGACAACATTGTCTAGGCTGTAAACCTCACATACTGTATGCTGCCCTATTTATCTTAGATGTCACACAGTAACCATTACTGGTAAGGAGAATTATTTCCTGGGAGAAACAGGAAAACCAGTATGTAATGGAAGTGAATGAGGCCAGTTATTTGAAGATTTAATAGCAAAAATGTGAAGCTTGTTCACTTGTTCACAAAAGCACTTGTTCTGCTAAAACCTATTGAACATACATGGCAACAAAGTCGTAAAATATAAATAATAATAATAATTATAATTATAATAATTAAATAATAATTATATAATATAAACTTTACACAGAAAATGTTAGTAAACTATTTTCTTTTTTAGAAATTGGTTCACTCAGAAATTGCTAGTAAATTTCACAAACAATTAGAAACCACAAATTACACATTGAATTAAATGTGACATTTAGAAGTAGAAAAAAATGAAATATTTTCTTGTGAAACATCTTTGTTTTATTTACAACTTTGAAAAATCTTTTTTACAGTGTAAAATCAATTTTCAAATTTTTTTTTTTTTTTTTGCAACTTGGTAAAAGGTGAACATTTTAATGTTTACCGATTGGCCCCATTTTCTTCCATTGTGTGTGTAATATATGTAGTTTAAAAAAAATAACAGTGGACAAACTGAAATGAATTTTGTGGCAATCAACATTATGCCACAAATGCTGGTTATTGAGTTAAAAGATTAGTTCACTTGCAGAATAAAAATTTCCTGATAATTTACTCACCCCCATGTCATCCAAGATGTTCATGTCTTTCTTTCTTCAGTCGCAAAGAAATTAAGGTTTTTGCAGTAAACACTCCAGGATTTTTCTCCATAAAATGGACTTCAATGGTGGTCAATAGGCTGAAGGTCCAAACTGCAGTTTCAATGCAGCTTCAAAGGGCTCTACACGATCCCAGCCAAGGAATTTGAAGTTGGAGGAGAAAATGAGATGGAGTTTTTCACCCTACCCTACCTTTTTGAACCGGAGTACACAAAAATGAAGAGCTAACAGCGCGTCACCTTTCCAACGTGATTACGTAATGCGTGAATTTGCGGATGCGCGTTACGAAGCTAGTGCAAAACGTGCATTTGTGGTTTAAAAGTATATCAATTTAAATTTTTTTAAGAAAATTACAGATCATTTCACTAGATAAGACCTATTCCTTGGCTGGGTTCGTGTAGAGCCCTTTAAACTGCATTGAAACTGCAGTTTAGACCTTCGAACCATTGGCCACCATTTAAGTCCATTATATGGAGAACAATCCTGGAATATTTTCCTTAAAACCCTTAATTTCTTTGCGGCTGAAGAAAGAAAGACATGAAGATCTTGGATGACATGGGGGTGAGTAAATTATCAGGAAATTTTTATTCTGGAAGTGAACTAAATGTTGTATGTTTCTGTTGACTATCTTTGGACTTGTTGTACACCACATTAGTCAACAATTGTAGTGTTTAATGGTGCTATATAAATAAGTTTAAGTTGAAATAATCCTTTAACAAATGTAAAAAACCTCACCTTTTCTTTGCCACTTTCTCTTTCAAGGTTTAACTGCATTTTCAGTTGCTCATGTTCACCTGTCAGCTGCAATAAATGGAAATGAAAGTGTTTTAAATAAAACAATGCAATGAGCATATAAGGATGTCTCTGACTTTATTTGTGTACTATATAATACCTTTTGAAGGGCTTTTTTTGCTGTTGTCAGCCTCTGATTTTAACTGTGCCAAATCCAGAGTTACAGGCAGAAGAAAGAGAGAACATTTGAGAACACACACACACAAAAAAGACCCAGTGTAATATTCATGATATGCTGATGCAGGGAGCACAACGAGAGGACATCCACTTGTCTTTGTTCATCTTTTGCATCTTGGGTCAGTGGACTGAAGCCCAGTCCTGGCCTGCGTGACCTGTTCTGGCTCAGGGTCCTGACAAGCTTCTGACCTGATGCACTGCTGTTGGCACGTCCACTCACATGCACTGACCAAACACAAACCACTAAGTTCAAGGGCCAAGTGTGTGTTATTGCCCAAGTGCTTTTATTTCCATAGAGACTTAAGACCTGGACAGCTCTTATCTTTAGTCACAGCCAATGCAAAATGTTTTAGCAGATGGTTCTTCCCATTTTGAATGGGGACACATAAAAGGAGTTTATGTTCCAATGAAATGGATGATATGTTGTTTTGGAGCATTTAAAAAATCTATGTTTTCATGCGTAATCAAAAAAAGCAGTGGCGTAAAATATTCAGATGGTTACCAAAGTTACATAAGCAATGAATGAATGTCAAACATTATGAAAGATAAAGGCCTGACCCTTGAGAATACACCTGTCTTGTGTTTGCTTTCTCCTCACAGACTCCCACAGAGTGTGAGATGATAGCTGTGGTCTGACAAGTGTCCTCAAACATTGCGCTCTGAATGCTAACTACCTCACACACCGGGAAAGATAAGAGAATCAGTCTATGTTTCCAAAACAAGCATTCGTGACAAATGTTTGTTTTTGTCCCAAAAACCATAGGAAAAAAACTTAAGCACACTTTTTTGTGAGTGGTTTATCCAAAAAAAAAAAAAGTTTAAAATGTGACGTTACCCAGCCTCTGCTCTTTGGATTCCAGGACTGGAATTTCTTCAAGCTCGACGTGCAACGAGTCAATGTTATCTTTTAGCTTTTCATTCTCTGACTTCAGTCTGCTTTTCTCGAGATCCTCCGCTCCCTCTGAGCCGATCTGAAAAATGACACAAGTCCTTTTTAACTTTCCCTTTATAGCGCAAAACAAAAGCCATGCCGCTCAAGCTGCGTGGCAAATATGAGTGCCATTCAGGCACAAAGCAGTCGTACAACTTTCTGCCTCCTACCATTTCCCTCTGAATAATAAAAAGCGAGAAACAAAAAAGCAAACACATTTAGAAGAGGACGATCTCTTTTTTTTTCCTGTTCTCTCTTTCGCCCTTTTCTTCTTGCCCGGAAGAAAGACGGCAGTACATTACATACAAAGCCCATAATTCATGGGGACATTTTTATTGACAGGAATAATACACATCATACTGTTTGTGTGCCCCTGTCATTCAGGTCAATTTATTCTGGAAGTCAAGGAAGGCAGCTGGGGCCTATCCACCCACGGTCTGGGCTCTGCTTTCTAACAAGCTCGGCAGAGCCAGGCCATGAGGGGCCGATTGGAGGATGGCTGAGCAGCCCCAGGGGGTTCGCAGAGAGCACAGTTTCCCGGGGGGGGGCTTGTTGCCTTTGTGCAGTCCCTCAGTAGCAGCGCTGCCAGTGTCACCAGGATCACATCACATGTCAGCGCGCTGAAGTTTGCAGACTGGGAGCCGCATGGAGCCCATCAGGTTCCTGTGATATCCACGCAGTTGATCCCATTCATGCCCCGAACATTAACTGGGCTTTTGCATGCCTGTCACACTTAAAATTGTGCAGGCGTTCAAAGGCCTTTATTTTTTCCACTTTATTCACTCTGTCTCTCTCTCACTCATTCATAAAGAAAGTAACTTGCAATCATAAACAGGTTTTGATTGCTATAAGTTTATTTGATGTTTGGCGGTTTTGCTTTTTCGTCACGTTTGGTATGACTTCGAATGAGCCTTAACAACATAAAAGGAAAAAAAGGTAAAAATGCTGTCACTGGGGCAGTGACAAATGGTACTAATATGTACATTTAAGGTACTAATATACACCTTTTAGGGGTAAAAAAGGTACAAAAGGGTACCTTTTGAAAAGGTACCATCCCAGCTTTTGTATCTTGAGATTGTAAGTCACAGCGTCATTTAGTCACACATAATAAATTAAATGCTCTGATTTATGACATCTTGCATATGGTTCATGATTGTTTGCTATAGATTTAATCCCAGAATAAAGAGCCATATGTTATGAATGTGACTCCCCAAATGTGACGGTCAGATGATAATGATGTACATGTCATGGAGCAGGATTACTCTATCACATATAGGAATGGGCATCGGTGCATCCAGCATGACAGAAATATGACTCCATGCAGGGTGGTTACCTCAACCCAAACATCACCCACCCTTCAGCCTTCCCTCCTTGTTTCATTGTCATCATCTAGGGAGAGACAGTATCAATGTATTATTTGTTCATAGATACTGAACCTAATTTTTCCTCCTCGAAAAGAAAGAAAGCCCACATTACACCTCTCTTCATCAGTTTGCACTGGCTGGCAATAGGTGCTCGCATCAAATTCAAGGTACTGATGTTTGGTACCACTGGCTCTTTACCAACATACCTAAACTCACTTGTTCAGACTTATGGGCCCTCCAGAAGCTTGCGTTCTGCAAGTGAACAACGCCTCGTGGTGCCATTCCAAAGAGGCACAAAATCACTCTCACTGACCTTTTACTGGATCTCAATTTGAGTCTTTAGCCATTTTCAAAAAAAGACACTTTTATTTTGTCAGCACCTGACCAATTAATACTAGCACTTATCTATTTGTTTTTACTCATTTATTTAAAAAAAAACTTGCTATGTGTACTGTGCTAGACTTTGTCACATCACTTGTATACTGTTGCTCTCTTGTTGGTCTGATTGCTTCTATTGTTCTCCTCATTTGCTAAATGATTAAATGTAAATGTAAATGTAAAATTTATACTCTAAGGAACATCTTACTGACCTGTTTGAACACCCCAACCTTTAACTCTGGCTCCACCATCTGCTGCAGTAACAGAACTACAGGTGATTAGCCATGCATCTCTCCTGTGGGCGTGAGAGTTTTCATTAGCACAATGAACAAAGCTTGAACTCCGCTGGGCTGCACTCATTTGTTACACTTTGAGTGGCAGGTTTTGTATGGCTGTTCTCCCGGCCATCTGCCTACACAAGCAGCCGTTTTGCTTGGACAGAGCTCAGACACTAAGGGTGAGAGATAACTCTCTCAGGCGGAGTGAGAGGGGCAGCCTATTAAAAAGGCCAATAATAGACACCTCACTTATCGGCACCTGATAGCTCATTCATGTTACATGTAAATCCCTTTCGCAAGGGCATAAAGGTGAGCAATTGATTTCACTTTGTGGAAAGCAAGTACCTGCTTATTAGTGTACAGCCATGGGGTCCGGGCCACTACCAAGTGCACTTCAGGCCATAATAGAGCAGGCCACTAAACAATAATTACCATCCTGCTGGTCAATAACAACACAAGCTGGATGACATTTTAGCAATCAAGAATCATATTGACATCATTAAAGATAAATGCACTACTGGCTAAACAATGCTTTAGCATAAAGGCTGCCATAAAAAAAGCACAAAAAATACTGTAAATAAAAATATATATGCGCACAAAATAAATGCAATTGCAATAATTTATTTTATTCAGCAAGGACACATTAGATGTATAATCTTATAAAAGATGTATATCAATAAGTATTCATCAAAGAATCATGAAAAAATGTATCAAGGCTTCCACAAAATTATTAAGCAGTTTCCAACATTGATAATAATAAGTTTCTTAAGCACCAAATCAGCATGTTAGACCATGTGACTGGAGTAATGGCTCCTGAAAATTCAGCTTTGGAATAAATTACATTTTAAAATACATTAAAATAGAAAACTGTTATTTTTATTGTAATTACATTTCATAATATTACTGTTTTTACTGTATTTTTGATCAAATAATTGCAGCATTGGTGGGCATAAGAGACTTCTTTTAAAAACATTTTATCAGCCCCAACCTTCTGAACAATAGTGTATGTATTACAAATATTCTGCAAATTTTCACAACATTCTGTATGTATCCCTTTTTTTGCTTACTGGTCCTTCTTCATTGCTTCTTTGCATAGTATTTACATACATACGGGCCTATATTTAAATTAAACTGATTATTGTACACAAGTTTTTCTGTGACGAATGGCAGAGAGTCTGTACCTCATATTTCTTTAGCTGTTCAACCATACGCTCAATCTTCAAGTTCTTCTCCTGTAGCTCATTCAGAAGGTCCTTTACTCTCCCATCAGTAACATCAGAAACCAGATCCGTCTCTTCTTTATTCTTGTAAAGATTTCATATCAAAAGATTCATTGTGAATCTTTGTAAATTATATCAAATAAAAAACAAACCTATTTTTTGCAATATGTTAGTTGATATTACAAATTCATTAAAAGCTTACCATATAACTGGCTTTGATCACCTGCATAGCATCTGAGAGCTGCTGCTTATAGCTTTTCCGAAGAACAGACAATTTCTTCAAATAAAACAGATATTAAGTAGAAACATGATTACATGTATTGCTTATAATAAAAGCAGCATTGTATACAGACCTCTTTTTGGCAGTTCTTCGAATTCTTGATTTTGTCATTCATACTTGCATAAAGGGCATCAGATTCTTCCTGCAGTTGGGTCTCATACTGCAAACGTATTGTTTTCAGTTTATTTTCAGTGTCTTCTTTTAACATGTTCATTTCCTGAGATGCAATCAAATGTTTTAAAACACATAAAAGAATATTTAACACCGAATGGTGTTAACACCAAGGTTATGGTCTATACAGTGTATATCCAACTTATCAAAGACCGTAAGTTGCTTTGGATAAAATCATTTGCCAAATAAATAAATGATAACATAAACACAAACTTGCTACTATCCATTCAGTAAGTATTTTTTCTATTTGTCTTTCTTTCTTTTTCAATGGGAAGGTTATATTTCCTTCCCAACTACAAATAAATTCATTTTTGTGAGTTACAGAACTAGAACATGCATTTAGCAGAGCATTTATTCGGCTGCAAGCCTGCTAATCAATGTTTAACTCTGCAGGCTAGAGGATTCCTTGTGAAGGCACTGTTCTTCACCACAAAGCCATCATATGCCCTCTCAGCAGGTGACCTAGACAGCCCACAGTGAGGCCACTCAGAGCTAAAGTTAGAAGAATCTTGAACTAATAAGATGAAAAGCCAGCAGCATTAATGAATTCACTGAGCATATCTAGCGGAATGCACTGACAAAGTAGTAGCTTTCTGTGGGCCTTTTTTTTAAGGCAAGACAAACTTGCATTTATAAAGACGGCTGCAGATTGACTTATAGCTGACAGACTACTTACTATTTTTGTAGTTAAAAAAAAAGTATTAAAAAAAAACGTTTTATGAACGGACTAAGCTGACCATGATAAGGGACTATTTATCTAGTGGTAGCAGATACACACCTTCATAAGCTCTGCAGTTTTGGCAGCGAGTATCTTTATATTTGGCAGCTCTGACTCGTCGGTTTGGACACAGGCATCTTGTCCAAAAAATCCTGTCCTCACCTGGTTTGACACAGCATATCTGAAGAGTTAGAATGATCGTGTGGTGAAATTAAGTTCAAATCCTGCCTTACCAAAGAGATTATCGCACAAAAGGGTTAGTTCACCCAAAAATCACCCTCAAGTCATCTTAGGTGTATATGACTTTCTTCTTTCAGATGAATGGCTTATATCCAAATCCTCTGACATTCTTCTTTACACATCTTAGTTTTGTACTTCTAATTAGTGACCGTTGTTTTGTTTTGATCTCTCCCCTGCGCTTCCCCGTGCGTCACTTCTGAGCGGCACATGCGCAAAGACGACCTCATATGTCATCCGCCCGGAACTGCTTCTGTGTACAACTGTTGGCGCAAGCTACATTAAAGTGATTATTAAGTTTTGAATATGGATATTTTTCTTACAAAAACGCATCGATTCGCTACAGAAGGCCTTTGTTCACCCCCCGGAGCCGTGTGAGACACTTTTTTTATGGATGGGCACTTTTTATTTAACTTCTTTTGGACTGATGCATGCAACACCCGCTGAGTGGCATTAAACAGCTTGAAAGATCAAAGACCATTTTTAATATAACTCCGACTGGATTCGTCTGAAAGAAGAAAGTCTTATACACCTAGGATGACTTGAGGGTGAGTAATTTATTAGCTAATTTTCATTTTTGGGTGAACTAACCCCTACAGATCTCGGCTGCTCTAAACGGTTGCCGTAGCAATTTTAACAATTTTGGCGTAACAATTTTCCCTTTTTTTCTCTCAAAACCTATTGTTTTTACTAAAGAACATATAGTTGAAGCTTATGGAATCATGAAATTAATTGAGGTTAATTAATTTTCCTATATCACTATATAGGCTACTATACATGTTGCTGTTTACTGAACAGTTAATAATAAAACTAGTTTATGGTTAAAAAATGTATGTAAATTTGAGGCAAAATCATTCAATTACTTTGAATCCTCTGGGACTATATGATTTAAATAAAACTGAACCTGATCCACCTGATAGCAGAACAGATATTGACACATGAAATTACAAGTGAAGTTCAGAAGCCTTTTACCCTTGATTAGTTCTAAACAGCTCTCATAATTCACCATGACATAAGGTCTCTGTGTTTATTAAGCAATTCTAGCCAATTCATATCTCAGACTGAAGACAGACAATAGACTTCAAATTAACTCGGTTTACCTCTTTAATATATTTTAGGGGGCTGTTGTGCACTTTTATGTGTCTAATCACAAAGCCCACTCTTCATTTTCAGACAAGGAAAAGTCCATTAAAATAGATTAGTCTGCCATAGTCTGTCTAGTTGGCATAATCTCTTTGAGTCTGCTTAAACAGCATAATCCCCGATACCAAAATATACTCCCCTGCATGGTGTAAGCCGTACCCTGAGTGAAGCAGGCACAACAGCAGACTCTAGGTATGTCCCCTCCCCCTCGTAGACAGCGTTGCTTGTACTGTAAGTGTCTGCCCCGGGGCAAGCCAATATGGCCCTTTAATTAATCAGAGTATTCCTCCTGAGTAGAGTAAAGGGCTAATAGTGTTGATTTTGGGGCTCTGTTTTCACTGCATGGAGATTTCTGATCATTTTGTATGTGGTCCAAAACAGTTTGTTATTTAATGCTATTCCAATTGAGAGCCCTTATGATCAATAATGTATGCATCATTGAGTATCAGTCAGGCGTAAAGTGAGAGCAACCGTCTTGGACATGCTTGTTTAACTCACACCTCCTAATGAAGAGACTAGAGCCAGAATGAATGTTTTCAGCTTATTGTTTTGTCTGATTGTAATTTTCACCTCCAGGTTTAATGTTGCATCAAAACGCTTGTACTTTAAATTTATATTGAACATGATGTGCTATGTAAAAGCAATTAAATATCTGCAGGCAAATACAATATCATAAATTATATTTTGTAAATATATTTACAGAAGGAGTATTTGAAGTATGTCTTCATGTCAAGTTTAAATTCTATGTTGTTTCTCCATCTTGAGCACAATTTATTGAAAGCAAACAATTAGGGGAATAAATACTGAACATTCACTAATTTCTATATATGTGTGTGAAAAAAAATGAATAAATACTTGTAAATATTGTTTTAAAAAATGTTAATAAGTAATATTCAGTTTTGTTCTAACATGAAATGTAAACTTTTACAATGCAATTCTTAAATATATATTTGGCATTATTTCTTAACGCAATCATCATCTGTTAGCAGCAGTGTTATTTTAGTATTATAGTTTTTATTCATATTTTGAATTAGTTTTTGTTATTGTATTTTCGTTTTTATTTTTGCTAAAGCTTCAGTAATTTTGTTATGTTTTTGTGATTTTTTTTTTAAATATATATTTTTTAATTTTTATTTCAGTTTTAGCTTTAGTTACATTATACATCAAGTTAAACTAGATGAAAATGAGAATTGTTGCCTTGGTTTAATTTTAATTTAAGCTTCAAATAAAGTTCATTTTATTTTAAGTAACAAAAGATTATTTTATGGTTTAAGTTTTTAGTTTTAGTTAATTTTAATAACCCTGGTTAGCAGGTATTTAAAACCTGGTCTGAATAGTTTTGCGTCATAATGAAGCCAAGTCGAGCAACAAATTCTCTAAGACATGGCCCACCAGCTGACAATGGAAATCAGTCTTAATTCATTTAGTCTGAACCAGCACTTCGCAGAAGCCTTGGGGCCCCAGTGCGAGCTTGAGCAGAGCTACATTCTGAGGAACCATCAAACTAATCTAATAGAATGAATGGGAATGGGTTCTCTCGGACAGGACAACAAGATTGTTATATCAGTCTATTGACACAAATTTATGCAAATTATTAAAATGCTTCACAGATGTATTTATCTACTGCACATTTATAGATGTCAACATGACACTCAACAACAAATAGATAAATCATACAGACTCTCATTAGTTTGCATGCAAAGGTTTGGTTTCATGGGGCTTCTTAGTATTTGCCATGCCAACAAATGACATCAGTGTCATTGTAAACAGTTCATTTTAGGATGATTTCAGCTCATCATCAAATCTGGAGGCAGATCTGACATCACTATTCTAGTTGACTCTAAGCTTTTTGCTGCCCTCCACTGGTTAAAACACCTAAACTTCCAAAAGAGTTATTCCTGCAAATAAGAGCAAGAGACAAATAAACAATAAAATAGTTTCTTTTTTAAATGTACATTTATTTATTATTTTTTTAATTTATTTTTTTATTTACAGCTTAAATGTGGGATATTTCAGAAACTTGCAACCCTAAATTCATTTACATACTGCCTACTTAATTTGTTAGTAATCCCCATATTTACTAAACTGTGGAAAATAGGTCAGTGGGCAGTCAGTCGGCTTTTCTCTTTTTTTTCCCCCAGCAGTCAGAAATGGCAGGCTGCCAATTAATCCCTTATCATACTATAAGATTGTCATTGATTGTAGTCATTAATTGTTAAATATACAGGATAGATAGATAGATAGATAGATAGATAGATAGATAGATAGATAGATGGAAACAAATGTATTTATTTAAATAAATTATTTTTTTATTATGTTTATTTAATTTCTGTTTATTTATTATTATTATTTATTCATTTTATTATTATTATTATTTATTTTATTTTATTTGTTGGTAGGGCAATCTAATAAATAACTACACAACTGTGTGATTGACCTACTGTATGTATGTCATATTTATTGAAAGCCCCAACACAACAGACAAACAGTAGAAAAGGAACACATATTTTGTATGAAACCCCATGGGATCTAATCAGGTCCAGATTGGTTAGGAAACCAAAACAAGATATGCCAGCCCCCAGAGAACACACCACTGGGAGGGGGAAAACATGATATTAACAAATGGCCTCTGGGGACATAAGCTAAAGCTCCCCTTGAATAAACAGAGAAATTAATTAGTTGGAGTTGGCAGCATATGACAGGTTCAAAATGGCATATGGCATAAGTTTGCTTATTGCTGATGGTTAGTCATCCTAGAGAAAGTGAGAACAGCTAGGCTGATACAGAAATAAGTGGGATAACAAATATCATGATCTTATCTGTGGTTTTATCTGATGCTCCTGACATTATGTATTTTACATTTTTATGTGCATGGACATGCTTTTCATATTCTTAGGCTTTCGCTATATCCGACTGTTTTCTCTAGAGGGCAGTAGCTGACCAGGTGTAACCTGTTTAAATCGAGACTACGTTCATTCTCATTAAACTTCTTCCTGAAAATGTATTATATTAATATACTTACACATTATTTTGGTTGCGCAAATCGGGATTTAAAAAAAAAAAAGTATTTCTAGAAATATGCGCTGGTCAAATTTAGGCATTTTAATTATCCTTTGAACGTCAAGATGGAATCTAATAGATTACATATTGACACTATCTTGTTTTCCCCTTGTTGTTAGAGTGATAGGCTATATTCATTTGTCCCACTCTGTGTTCTATAAGCTGGAAGGTTCCAGTTCTGATATTTGTCAGTGAATGCCTACCATCCCTCTGGGATTTTTTAATCCTGTTAATGCTCTTAGATAAAACTATGCCAAGAACCTGCTCAAAGAGCTGATATCTGCTAAAACTAATAGCTTTTAAGCACAAAGGAGGTCCTTTGTTCTCTGCCAGTGTCTGATTATGAAAACAATGTGCCAAGAGGTACGTAATTGAAATGTTGCTCATTGACAGACACAAGGATTTTTTTCATGGAGACCATTTTTGAAAGAGACACAAGAACAGACTGTGCAACATCTGTCAACAAACTACAGCTTAGCACTGTGAAAAACTGTTTGAACTCCACTGATGGTTCTAAGCACATTAATGCTTAGACACAATATGAATTAAACTTTAACAGATAATATTAACAAAACTTGCATTCACAATTGCAGATCCTGTCTCAAGTTTTGACTGGCACTTGCTGTTTTGAAACTGACCATAACAAAATCCTACATTTTAAACCAATTAATTCATAGATAAGTATTTTTAAAAAGAGCTTATTTCTAGTTGAGTATATCTAGAAATTAGCACATATAGCTG